CAGACCAAAAATTACGTCAGAAAATCTATCCATAAGAATATGAAGATAGCCATAGTAAATTTATCTTGAAGCTTTTATGAACAATAAGAATTATATATATATATATATATATATATATTAACAAGGCATACAAAAAAGGGAATCATCAATGTGATAGACTTCAAGCTCACATAGAAGCAATCCATAAAGTCCTCACTACATTTCTTAATAAGGCATCATTTCAACTCACAAACAGACACGAAAAAGCCAAAGCCATACAAGAATTATGAGATGGGTTGACGTCAGAGCAGTGTAAGTGCACTGAAAGCTGACTAAATCCTCATGAAAATGCTCATTATGAGCTCAATGATTTACACATCAAGAAATATAAATTTTCATTAGAATAACTTATCTTTCCTAATCTTCTGCTATTGTTTTTTGATTCTTAAGAAGTAACTTTCTGTCATTAATACAAATCTTTTTTATCACATAAAATCTATTAGTGTAAACATACTTAAATAACATAAATTTGACACCATCGTCAAACATTCTTCTAATTATTTCCAAAAATCATTAATTTTTATTAGGCAATAAATTGTATCTTTATATTAATGACTTTAGCCTTGACATATCTTGACTTTTTTATCGCAGAAAAAATTTTGATTAATTGGTAATCATAGTTGAGTTGTACCTACTCAATTATTAGAGAACACTATTTAAACAGTAATGATAATAATAATAATAATAGTAATAATTTCATTAAACTATTTTGATTTAAACAAAGTGTCACATCACAAAGGATTGAGAAAAATGAAAATCATTTTGAAGAAATCTATTCAGATTAACTCTAATCACTTGAGTATAATTTAGGGGATGGATTTCACTCTAATGTTGTTAAAACAAGAAAAGACAAGTATCTTTCGAGAGCGAAAAAAACGATTAGTTCATAGGGAAATAATAATAATAATGCAGTTACGAAAATGTTAAACATTTTAATTGGACACTAGTAACTAGTGTGATGTGTGTCTAGCCCTTTCTTTGGTGCAGACTGAATTCTATCAGTCAGGTTTTAGGTGACGCGGATTCGAATCTCAGAAGGGACATGAGTTCCTTCAAGGTTGCAGATACGCCTTACTGAAGAGTGCCAACTAGCACGAAACCTAGATCAAGCAGGGCTTCCTGCCGATTGCCTCCAACCATCTAATATCTAATAAATTCTGTTGTTTGATGCTTGATACACTTCCTAAAGTATGTATTTCAACAAAGTAATGACAACTCCTATGTATTTTAAGGTTAGTTTGTGTTTCCCTTTGATTAATAAGGTGGACCGAAATAATCAGTTAACCTGAAATGCATATTAACCTATTCGCATATAGAACTTGGAACCTAATGGCTCTTTTGATAGGTAATGCTTTAGCGTTTGGAACGATAGATGCAGGATTCAAGTCTTAGTCAGAACATCACTACTCACTGAAATTTTAGGTACATTCAGGTGACAAGTCCGTAATGAGACAAAAGCTGCATCCTGGATTCCACTGCTAGTCATCACCAACTGAAAAATACTTCCGTATAAAAATAACAATATATCTCATATTCGGTTCAATAAGCGGAAGTGGACTGTCTCATTTCAACACAAAGCTGTAGAATGATCTGGATTTATAAGCTTAATCGGATAAGTTTCAGTAGGGATTTTGTTTGATTGGCTGGAGGATTTCGTCATGAGCTGACATCAGTTAGAGAACCATTGAAAAACCTGCAGGGAGTACTGAAAAGCTGTTTCGTCAGTCTTAGTTTGGGACTCTTCATCGGTACGCACCCACCGGGGTTCGAACCCACGACCTTCTGGTTACAAGGCGAGCTCGTAGACCATTAAGCCACTGGAACCAGATGTAATGATAAACCCATGAATTCGAACTTCTGCCAATTCATGACATAGCGCGATCACTTCACAGTGTCTTCTTCGATGAGTTACTGCCTCACCTTCAACTTGCTGTACCCTAGTGGTCGCTTCTCCCTTGAATCCAGGTAAACTGCCTGAATAGGGCCAGTCGCTAGTGAGCATCACTTCAGTTTATAACCTGGATTGTAATATCTCTTTTCAGTCAAAAACCAAAGGGGTAAGTATTGTAGTACATCATCATACAGAAATCAGAACAGTCTGAGGCCTATTCTCTACTGTCGTTAGTTGCTTACAGACTTTCTTCCTTCACGAATAGAGTTTAGCGGAATTAAAATAGTCATCTAATAGGCTTAACTCATATGCTAATTAAAAGCAGTTGGTATTATCCTTTCATTGGGGGTCGGTTGCACAGTGGTAGAATGCTAGCCAACCACGCATGTGGTCCAGGGTTCGATCCCCGGCTGACGCACTCCTTTACCTCGCTTAGCCAGTAATAAGACTGTTAAAGAGGGAAGGTTGGGCATGGGGCTAGCAAAACCATCCCGTAAAAATAAACACCACTGCTATCGAAACTTGAAGTCTCTATCTTGAAGCCCTATGTTCCACTGGGAACGTAAAGGAATAAAATATTCATTTGATTGTTGTTTGATATTGTATGAACAAAAATTCATTTAGAAGAAATTATAAGTTAAGTCAGCCTGGTTGTGAGAAGTTTGTTGTGTTTCTCCACTACAGACTTCAGCCTGCCTTAAAAGTACTTAAAACTAAGAATAAGAAATAAATATAAGACACTGGAAAGTATTTTCGCTGTACTTTTCTGCAGTGAGATAAAATTATTTAGTCTGAGTATTTTTTTTAATTAACAAAGTGTAAATAGTGATGATACGAAATGTATATATATAGTAGGTAAATTTCTTCGAGTTTACTTCTTGTGGAATTGCTATTTAACTCCTAGTGTGATCAATTATTTAAGAGATTACTATTGATCTTTCATAAATTCAAAATCTTATAGCCTTATACAATGATGTATATATATATTAACTGTTTTAAGATACCTTTTGTAAATTTCAAAAGACTGATGAGTGAAAAAATATACGCGTCTTCATAGCTTTCTTCCTGTACAGTGCACAATGGATACGCAGCTGCAGGCTTGGAGCTGCATATAAATGCCATCTTAATTGAAAATAGCTACCGAGATACGTTAATAATGAAAAATATAGTCAAGCGAAAAGCAACAAGTTGGCAGAAGAAGCATCAAAGATAGGACTTCAGGTGAACATAGAGAAAACAGAGGTGATGAAGATTCCTGGGCAACACCACCAACAGCAACAACAACAACAACAGACAACAATCAGCATAAATGGAAGGAACCTGAAAGAAACAACCTCCCTTATCTACCTATGGGAAGCATCGTTACAACTACAGGCGGAACTGAGGAGGATATCAAAGCAAGAATCGGAAAAGCAAGACAAGCTTTCACTACTCTCAAGTCTGTGTGGAGGTCAACAGCACTCAGCATCAAAAATAAGATCCGGATTTTCAACTCCAATGTGAAGTCAGTGCTACTATACGGATCAGAGACTTGCACTGCGCGTCATAAAGAGCATCTCCAACAAACTACAGACCTTCATTAACAGTTGTCTTCGCTCAATACTCAAGATCAGATGGCCAGAAAAGATCAGCAACAGAGATCTCTGGCAATGAGCGAACCAACACAGCAGGAACCGATTGTGAAACAAATAGGCAGGAAGAAATGGAGATGGATTGGCCATACTCTGAGAAAACAAACCATCAAGTGACATCACTAGACAAGCCATTGCTCGAGTGGAACCCGAGAGATGGGAAGCGGCGAGTTGGTCGTCAGTGCAAGGGTGACTTGGAGGAGGTCATGTGAAGAGGAGATGAAAACGTGTGGGCAGACATGGAGGCAGGTGAAAACTCTAGCAGAGAACCGAACCAATGGAGACGCACGGCTGAAGCCCTATGTTTCTGGAATTAAAGGAAACAATTATATAATAAAATAGTCAAGAAAGCAGAAAGGTACTCTTCTGTGCTTCCTAACAAATAGCTACTATATATATAGCCATTACAATTCAAAAGTAATTACAAACTATTTAAGAAAACTAACAAAAAGGACTTTGAATGCCATTAATCTGCGGTTTGTGATTTCTCAACTAAAAGACGAACTACCTAGGCTGAGCACGACTTCTGCCTTTGTGGAATCAGTAATATTGGGTGTTGTTCCAGGAACTTTGTTCTTCAGGCATGTTCACACCTACCAGTGTGGCTAAATGAAACCATCTACGGTTGGATATTAGACCACTTGTTCTAAGCATGTTACAAAATTAGCTTTGAAGAAATTTTTCCTAATCATTTAATGGGTACCAAATAAATTGATCAAAAATAACTATTAGAAATTTCAAAAAGCAGCGGCCGCTGCAGTTCTATTAAAACTACCTGATCTCTGAGTTCAGAAGAAACAGGTCCAGCCACTACTGCTACCCTGGCCTGCTGTGGAACCTTTAAATACACAAACTGCCTATTATTTTTCTTAATTTATCGTATAGATGCTATTGTATATAGGTGCTTTTGGACTGTGATCTATTGATCTTATTAATTCAATGTTGTCTACAAAACAATGTTGTTAATAACAATAATTCTTTTGGAAAAATAACCGTAGAATCTGATGAAGTTGTCGGAAAGAAGACCTCTTTTCCTCTTATCATTCTTTTGTAATTTCGAATAGGCATTTGTAACCTCCTAACTGATTAGCTGAATGGTAAGATACTGATTCACAAATAGTTCTTCTAAATAATGCTTCTTTTCTCACCCAGCAAAATTCGAAAGTATCAAAGCAATAGTCGTATGTGTTTCATCATTATCATTACATATTGTCGATAAATTTACTCTGTCTCATAAAATATTATTCTTGATGGAGTCACAAAACAACTGACCTCGTCAGTTTAAATACTGAATCAAGTAGGACACGACAGTATAAAGTCAACCCAATTTCGAATTTCTTTTCAATTAAGTAATATCACAGAAATTTAGTGGTATATATATGTATACATAAATTTCTTGTCAAAGTAAAACAATTACTCTTGAGCATAAAAATACTTACTTCGTCTTCCAGTGAGGTTTTACAATTGCTTTTATTCATTAGAAATAGAATCACAGTGTTACAGATGCATTATTTCAAAGAAATGCTTAAAATGTTTTGATAGAAAATCATTTAAAAATATATAAAACTCCATATAATATATATTGGGAATGTTTGTTTTAGTGATTAACTCAATAAATATGTATAATCATATGCAGAAGACGGTTAATTTTATTGAGATTATAAATCGTTCGATTTAACGGCATCCATTGGTTGATGCATTCAACCAATCAAATACAAGCAATTTATTATTATGTTGAACATTTACTACTGAATAAAAAAGAAAGAAACGCCCTAGTTGATTTGTTCAAACCATGTATGTTTACGAAGGAAGCTTTTCCTTTTCTGTCATTAAATGAAACATTTATAGTTTAATAAAGTATTTTCAAAATGGATAACTAGCTAGGTAAGTGTTCGAAGTGTGAAAAGATAGCTAAAATATATAATGATATTTGTATGTAAATGGCAGTATGGCTAAATGTTATAAAGACAGCTAGTAAATGGCATGTTCTCATATCACCCTATTGAAGCAAACTGTAAATCGACTACCAGAATTCAAGTCAGTTCATTTTATGCTAAAACTTGTGCTGAAGATGTTGTCCAGAAGGACGACGAAATCTTCGCAATTAAACCAATCGGCTCTGTGAACACAACTAATCGCAAATCATCCACCTGAGCTACAAATCTTCTCTGTTATTTCAATATTCAAAGTCTTTTAAAGAGAAGGGCTGGTCACTTTCAGTCAACCTTATTTGTCCAATGAGAAATTAATCATAGACTGAAAAGTAACTACAGTTTCACGACGAAATTAGTTGGATGAAACAACTGCCTAACAACTGAAGGAATTATTGAAACCTTATTACTGTTACAGTTAAAATTTTCTTTTTGGTTTGCAAACAATACTTGTACTTCGTTAGAAATATTTTATGAGCTATCACTTAACTAGCTTTGAAATGTGTTAATATTGGTAATATTTCTATATCAGATCATACTGTTATTTTTATTGTGCCTTTGGTTTCTAGGTGGAACATAGGGCTTCAACAACACATTCACACTTTGTTCTGTTTTTCTCTGTCATCTTCAGCTGGGTTCGCGATTGTCCATAATCTCTTATCTCCTCCTGGCTTGATCTCTTTCATGTCATGGTCAGTTCGTTCCCGAAGTTGCTTGTTGCCATTTGATCTACAATATACAGCGAAGGCAATTGTTAAAAAGTCTGCTGTGGCCTGTTGAAAATGCTTCTCATGATGCACCCAGTTTCTGACTCATTTTGAAGGAATGACTGCCTTCACATTTGCATTGAAAATACGAATCTTGCTCTTTGTGCTCAGTTAGTACATCAGATTTCCAAACTGACCAGACTGATGGAGGTATTGATAGGATCTCACGCACTTTTTTATTGATCAATTATTTCAACGGCTGTTAATCTCGCATAAATGGTATATCATCATTTCCCACGCACTTTGTTATTGATTATTACGATCAATTATTTCAAATTCTGTTAGCTGTCTGTATTGTTGTAAAAATGTATAAATACCATGTGTTGTTTTCCTAAATAAGTTCTTTGTCGTAGTTGTTGTACTACAATATACAGTCACAGGCCAGCCTTTGTCTTTTGATATTTGCGTGGTTCACTGAATCGGAAGGTACCCTAAGCAGATAAGCATATAAGTCAGGCGCAGACAGAACAAGACGACAACGTCCTCATTTAATTCCCTACAGTTATAATAGGTATATTTTGCCTTTCCAATTCTGACTGGTTTGACGACTTCCTGTGGTTGAAACAATGCTTCTAAGATAAGCAGAGGAAGTGACCTCTTTCAAGTTTCTACCGTTGATAGTGATTGCTGCCGTTTGTTGTTGCTGTTGATTGGTTATCTTCATCACCTCCGTCTTCCTCATGTTCACCTGGAGTCTTGTCTTCTTTGCCTACCACTTCTGCCAGTTTGTTGGTTTTCGACTATAAGTTTTCAAGTCTGTGTGACATTAAACACAAATCACAAATTAGGCACACTTTAATCCGCCCTTAGATTATTATTATTTTTCGTCCTGTGATTTTCCAGCTTCAGCAGCACATAGCTTTTCATTCTTTTCTCCGATATCTTTTTCAGCTAGCTCTACGGCTGCACACAAGCTCTAATTTCTCTTCATATGATCACCTCCATGTCACTCTCTGACGCTCACCTTGTATGCCTGTCCAGAGTGTGATATCTCTCCACGGTTTTCTCAGTATATTTTCATTGTATCTCCATTTCTTTCCGCATATTTTTTCGGCAATGAGTTAATTCGCCAATACAATCCCTTGTTGTTAATACTTTCTGAGAAACTGATCGTCTGAACTTCAGTATCAAGTGAAAGCAGCTTTTCCCTTAAAATTCTGCATTAACCTGATTACTTTCCTTAAAAAGTGGTATGGACGGACAACTCTACCTCTCTTGTATGCAAAACTCTTCTGATCTGGTTGAAGTGCTTTAAGACAAAGGTGATAGCTGTCAGCCCATACGAAACTTGAAAGATATAAGGTTATAAAATTCCACTTCGATTATTCAGCATGTATACAATTACCATATAGCCTATTTGAAAATGAAGTAATTTTTCTTGGTCATTATACCTGTTAGTAGTCAGCTTTTGATCCGAAATCATAAGCTGAGTATACATTTGGGTGCAGTCATCCATGTATTTTAACGGTTATAAGTGTAACGCAAATAGAAGACGTAAACAGGTTATCCATTTTATCGTCAGCTAGGCAAGTTACACTTTGGCAGGACTATATGTAACCGACAGTTAATCTCTTCGATTTTGTATACTGCATGTCAGAAGAAATTATTTATTTATATCTTACCTTCATCTCAAGAAAACATGCATCCTTGTTCTAAATCTTGTACGGAATTCCAACATTGTCTTATCTAACGAAACATAATATTTATGTATATATGTCACTCATTAGAGAAGTTTTGAAAGTATATGTTTGATGGCGTGACTGCAGCTCAACAACAACTAATATCTTATCAACTCAAGAATTCTAGCATATTCATTCTGTTAAGAAAATGTTGATTTCAATTTTTTAAATAGATGGGAAAATTCTGTGAGTAAATGAAGCTATGTTCTAAAAGGCATTTAATTTGTAAAATTATGACACTGATTGTGTGTATGACTGTGACGTAGACTTTGACAGAAAACACTGCAGTTCTTATACCGTACAGTATTTTCAGCTCAATTTTTATCTGTAACGACTGCAGACAATGACCAGGCAACAGCTCGTTTATTGATAAAATCAACAGATATTTATAGATTTTTATGTACATTATTATTAGCGTTATTGTTAGCAGAGAAGCAACGTCTTCTGATTGGTTGTTTTCTTGCTGAAGGTTATTCTGTACTGCTTGTGACCATTGCTTACAAGGTTATCCATATTTCTGCGAATCGTATTTGCACACGCTAAGTCCTCTGTGATTGGTTGTTAGGTTAGGCTTTGTTCTTGTTTTTTCTCATTGACCCGATTCGGGACATAAATATTGACGTCAATTGTTGTCTACAATTTTGTCTTGCAGACAGCCCTCACCACATATCTACTCATCATACAGAATCTTTAAATAAGACAATAATCTACAGAATATCATTCACATAACTATTCTGTCTGCAAAGTACTACAACCTCTGATGTGTTAGTTCGCTTCGAAAGAGACCAAGAATTATGATGAACGATGCACATGAGTGAAAATCTTTCATCAAGAATGTAAATATCTGGTTGGAGAAAGTATAACTGAGTAGACCTGATGCATTCTGCCCTGTGAAAACTTAGGCAGCTCAATAACTTCACAAGGCCGCCATCATATCAAATTGTAAATATGGAATGATCCATTGAAATGCTGTGAATGTACTTATTAAAAAATTATTAGAAAATTATTATTATTAGGGAATAAACGATAACGGTTACCTTTTATCTGTAGTTATGATGAGGACACAATGGAACCAGCGGATTTCATGTGTGAGGAATTTACAGATTTCGGGTGGTTTAAAAGGATTCGGCTCCAACAGCGTACTTTATGGTGATGGTGAATTCAGACGAGATAAACAGGGGCCAAGTAAACGTTTGTGAAAAGATTTTGCATTGTGGATTAGATCAAACTGTTTATATTTGTATTTCAGTAGCTATTTACGCAGTGATAGTTTTATCTCTAAATTTTGGTAATGTTTAGAGCAAAACTGCTGTTCGCAATGACACAAACCGCTGGGATCGTTACGTTCTTATTTCGGTGTTTAGATCAATTCGACATGGCTGGGAAAATACTGCGGTTTAATGTGACTGGTATCCGACTGATCACATCGATCAGCAGTAAATCCCATAAACCTACAATGTCCATAAAATTCATACTTGTTGAAGCTTGTAAGCAACAAAAATGTGCTGTCTAAAAATGTGAGAGACTGCAATTTGCACACATGGATTTTTAGCTTATATATTTCTATCTTTTGATTTTGTAGAAAAAGAGTACATTCGGACGGGAATGTAGTTTAACAGGTAAATATTAAGTCAGTTAGGAGATTCACTGGTGATAGTCATTCTTCACGGTGATGATTTCGTTGACTGTCTCGGCACTCATCTTAACGGTAATGATGTCATCACTTTGACCAAAACAAATTTACCCCTTGAGAAGCTGTGTGGATTGTTTTTATCAACTGTAATGAAGAATTTGATATAGACGACTGTCCTGAGTTATTGATATAAGAATAAAACTTGTGCACTGTGGTAGAGTGTAATTCCATTATGGGTATATTTTGTTTTGATAAAGTCTCACAGTGTTATACAGTAATGTTTACTGATGACCATGTTTCGAGCACAATTTATTGCTCATAATCATATCAAGGTATAACACTGTGAGACTTCAACAAAATTTACCCATAATGGGACTGTCCTGAGTATCGAGACGTAATTTCTAAATTCAGTACACTTACTGTCGATTAAAAGACAAAACTAACTTTTGCATATACAAATATGTTACT